AATCTACACATTCAATGCAATCCCTATCAAAATATCATCAACTTTTTTCAAAGAAATGGAACAAATAATCCTAAAATTTGTATGGAACCAGAAAAGACCCCTAATAGCCAGAGGAATGTTGAAAAAGAAAAGCAAAGCTCGTAGCATCACAATTCTGGACTTCAAGCTCTATTACAAAGCTGTGATTATCAAGACGGTATGGTACTGGCACAAAAACAGACACATGGATCAATGGAACAGAATAGAGAGCCCAGAAATGGACCCTCAACTCTATGGTCAATTAATCTTCGACAAAGCAGGAAAGAATGTCCAATGGAAAAAAGACAGTCTCTTCAACAAATGGTGTTGGGAAAATTGGACAGCCACATGCAGAAGAATGAAACTGGACCATTTCCTTACACCACACACAAAAATAGACTCCAAATGGTTGAAACACCTAAACGTGAGACAGGAGTCCATCAAAATCCTAAAGGAGAACACAGGCAGCAACCTCTTTGACCTCAGCCGCAGCAACTTCTTTCTAGAAACATCGCCAAAGGCAAGGGAAGCAAGGGCAAAAATGAACTATTGGGATTTCATCAAGATAAAAAGCTTTTGCACAGCAAAAGAAACAGTCAACAAAACCAAAAGACAACCGACAGAATGGGAGAAGATATTTGCAAATGACATATCAGATAATAGGCTAGTATCCAAAATCTATAAAGAACTTATTAAACTCAACACCCAAAGAACAAAGGATCCAATCAAGAAATGGGCAGAAGACATGAACAGACATTTTTCCCAAGAAGACATCCAAATGGCCAACAGACACATGAAAAAGTGCTCAACATCGCTCGGCATCAGGGAGATCCAAATCAAAACCTCCATGAGATACCACCTCACACCAGTCAGAATGGCTAAAATTAACAAGTCAGGAAACGATAGATTTGGGGGGGGGGATGTGGAGAAAGGGGAACCCTCTTACACTGTTGGTGGGAATGCAAGCTGGTGCAGCCACTCTGGAAAACAGTATGGAGGTTCCTCAAAAAAGTTGAAAGTTGTTGAAAAGTTGAAAATAGAGCTACCATACGATCTAGCAATTGCACTACTGGGTATTTACCCCAAAGATACAAATGTAGAGATCTGAAGGGGCACATGCACCCCAATGTGTATAGCAGCAATGTCCACAATAGCCAAACTAAGGAAAGAGCCAAGACATCCATCGACAGATGAATGGATAAGGAAGATGTGGTATATATATACAATGGAATATTATGCAGCCATCAAAAGGAATGAAATCTTGCCATTTGCAACGATGTGGATGGAACTAGAGGCTATTATGCTGAGCAAAATAAGTCAATCAGAGAAAGACATGTATCATATGACCTCACTGATACGAGGAATTCTTAATCTCAGGAAACAAACTGAGGGTTGCTGGACTGGTGGGGGGTGGGAGGGATGGGGTAGCTGAGTGATAGACATTGGGGAGGGTATGTGCTATGGTGAGTGCTGTGAATTGTGTAGGACTATTGAATCACAGACCTGTACCTCTGAAACAAATAATAAATTATTTGTTAAAGAAAAAAAAAGAAGATAGCAGGAAGGGAAGAATGAAGGGGGGGAAATCGGAGGGGGAGATGAACCATGAGAGACTATGGACTCTGAGAAACAAACTGAGGGTTCTAGACAGGAGGGGGGTGGGGGGATGGGTTAGCCTGGTGATGGGTATTAGAGAGGGCACATTCTGCATGGAGCACTGGGTGTTATATGCAAACAATGAGTCATGGAACACTACATCAAAAACTAATGATATAATGTATGGTGATTAACATAACATAATAAAAAAAAGTTTTGGGGAGGATGTGAAGTAAAATGCACCCTTGTGCACTGTTGGTGGGAATGTAAACTGGGGCAGCCCCTATGGAAAATAGTATGGAGGTTCCTCAAAAAATTAAAAATAGAAATACCATATGATCCCGTAATTCCACTACTGGGTATTTATCCAAAGAAAACAAAAATACTAATTCAAAAAGATTTATGCATTTTTATGTTTATTGCAGCATTATTTACAATAGCCAAAATATCAGAGCAATTGAAGTTTTCATTGACAGATGAATGGTTAAGGAAGATGTGGTGTGTGTGTGTGTGTGTGTGTGTGTGTGTGTGTGCACGCGCACATGTGTGCACGAGATGGAATATTACTCAGCCATAAAAAGGATAAGATCTTGACATTTGTGATAACCTGGGTGGACTTAGAAGGTGTTCTGCTAAATGAAATAAGTCAGATAGAGAAAGACAAACACCATTTAATTCCACTTATATGTGACATATAAGAAATAAAACATGAATAAACAAACAAACAAAAAGCAGAAACAGATCCATAAATACAGAGAACAAACTGATGCCAGAGAGGAGGAGGTGGGGGATGAGCAAAATGGGTGAAGGGGAGTGGAAGATACAGGCTTCCGGTTATGGGATGAATAAGTCACAGGTATAAAAATTATAGCATAGGGAATATAATCAAGTCTAGAGATGGTGACTGTATGCGGAACCAGCTACACACCCATTGACAGTAGGACCATGAGAAGGCATGATTCTCATGGGATCCTCTGGGGAAGGGAGGAGCTCAGTCAGCTTTTCCCAAAAGATATTCTATCCAGAAGGATGATCAGAATGGATGAGATGATCCTGGCAGGGGTGTGGACCTCCCTTAAGGGGAAGTGGTAGGTAATCAGCTGGAGCTCCTACATTAGAGGAACTTCAGGGTGGAGAGATTCTTTCTAAAGAGGGTTTCTTTAAAGAACCCACAAACATGGCTCATGCATCCTCCATATGTGGGAGACATGAAGGACATAGCCCATAAGAGGGCTCTTCCTGCCCCTTACGTCCTTCTCTCCCTCTTCCACAACTTGAACTAGCTAAAAGCATAGATACTGAGTAGGGTTAGACAAGAGTGTGGATAAGGGAAGAGGCTGGCCTCACCCAACTTCCTTACTGCATGTTTTCTAGTTGCAATATTATATTAGCTCAGGCTCTTTAATATTGAATGAGTATATCACTGCTGCCAAAAAGGGATTGGCACAGCTCCAAGGGCTTACCTAACACTTCATCTTGGGGCAGGAAGAGAACTGTTTCAGAGAACAGTTTTGGAAAGGAAGTAGAAGGAACAAAAGTGATTTGTGCTTAAACTACCAATTCCAACAGTTTAACAAAGCAGGTAAGACAGGTTTCACAAAAACTCAGAGGAACAAAAATCTCGGACCTGGGTAAGTATAACCTAAGAAATAACTAAGATGAAATAAGTCAAGCTGAGAAAGTCAATTATCATATGGTTTCACTTATTTGTGGAACATAAGGGATAGCATGGAGGACATTAGGAGAAGGAAGGGAAAAAGGGGGGGGGAATCGGAGGGGGAGACGAACCATGAGAGACTATGGATTCTGAGAAACAAACAGGGTTCTAGAGGGGAGGGAGGTGGGGGGACGGGTTAGCCCGGTGATGGGTATTAAGGAGGGCACGTACTGCATGGAGCACCGGGTGTTATACGAAAACAATGAATCATGGAACACTACATCAAAAACTAATGATATATTTTATGGTGACTAACATAACATAATAAAATAAAATAAAATTTAAAAAAAGAAAAAGAAATAATTAAGATGAAATACGCAAATATGGAGATAAAATGATAGAGATGCTAGAAATATATGTATATATTCATATTATGTTGAAATTTTATTTATACTATTTACATAAATATATGTGTGTAATACATATATATATATAAAATGGGAGGAGTACAGTTATATGTGTGTGTGTGTGTGCACATATATAAAATGATAAGATGACAGAAATAATCAGAAGAAATGGAAAGGAAACAAAATGTATCCAGGTATGTTTTGACTCCCCAAGAAAAAGCCCAGCCACCTCTGAGTGCCATACAAGCTTAGTAGCAGTATTTCATATGATATGATGTTAAAGAATGTACAAAAGAAAGAAATTCTACAAGAAGAACAAGTAGAATGGGAGAGGGAAGGGGGAAAGAAAGGAGACAAAGAGGAGGAAGAAAAGGAGAAACACAATGGAAATAACAATTGCAGAACCGCGTGCAGAGAATGAAGCATCACTCATCTTTTTCATCGTCTGCTGCATGGACTCAGTAAGACACATGCTCTACTTGAGTTTGGTTTAAATAACTGTGTCCCAGGCTTAGATCTGATGTGATACCAGGACTCTAGCTTCTGCTTAATTAATTCAAGTTCCCTCTGTCTGTTTCTCCTTGTTCTGCTGAGGGCTATGTTCATTAGTTACAACAAACCTTTCTAACATTTTCTCCTGGTCCCTTATTTCCCATTCAGGGCTAGCTTGTCTCTGGCCACGTAGCTCTGTGTTACAATCAGGTTCCAGCTCCTATTCTTGCCAAGGGTCTTAGGTGACAAGAGGCCAGGTTTGAACCAATAGAGTCTGAGTTTTCCTCCAAATATGAAGTCAGTGACTTTGGATAAAAACGTGAAAAGCAAGTAGGCAGAGTCTCTCTTTCTTCCATAGGAATAGAGTTGCAGCTGAACCCATGGCTGCTCACTACAGATTATATTTCTTGGCCTCACTGGCAGCTAGGTCTGGCCATATGACCAAGTTTCGAGCAATAGGTTGTGAGCAGAAGACTCTGGATCTTTCCATTAGAAGAAACTGATAGGTGATTTCCCGGCCTGTTTTCCCCATTCCCACTGGCTGGGAGACAATGGCAACCAGACTAGCTTTTTTTGGACCCAGAGAGGGACACTGTGTGTTGAGGAAGGCAGTTTCTTCCTTCCCTTTCTGGACTGTTTGATGAAAGAGAAATAAATTATATAGTTTAAATGACTGTATTTCGGGCTCTCTTTGTTACAACTTAGCCTGTACTTGAAACGATTCATTATTTATGAAGCCAGTTGGAGATTTCAGGGGTGCAGCAAAGACGGGTCTGGCAGGAAGATCAGGGTTACAGTAAGTGCACAGGTGTGAATTCTCAGACTTTTACCTTTTTGGAGACTGCTTTTTTTATGTATAGATCTTCTCTTTTTCCCTTCAAACAGAAAAGAAAATAAGCTTTACATGTCAGTGACCTTCAAGTATTTTAAAGTCTTCATTCCACTTTTGTAGTGCTAAATCTCCAGCTACCAATACATCATCTTGGTTGTCATAACACTGAAAACAAAAATAGCAACAAAAACAACCTATATTTATGCTAGTCATTTACAGTATATTTTTACCTACTTACATGAGATTTTCTCATTCACAATAAGGAGAATGCAAAAGGCAGATGAAACCAGGCAGGAGCTGACAAAGAGGGGGACCGTCAGAAGGGTCAAGGAAAAGTAGATGTCAGAAATCACAAGAATATGTCCTGGAATTTAGGAGTTTGCCTTGAAAAGCTGAAGCTATCATCCATGTTTATAACAGCAAGAACTTAAGTATGAAGTAGGAAAAAAAAAAAACCATCGGAGAAATGAAGACAAATTTAGCAGGGATAAAAGAGTTTAGATGTTTCAGAAATTAAAGTGAAGGACATAGATTTATAAAAAAGGAACCAGGAAGTTTAGAACAATTAAGAAAGATTAGAAAGAAAATAATCAATGGAAGATAGTGAACAAGTCAACATATTTCCTAAAGAAGAAAATCAAAATAAGAGATAAATTCGAGAATCAAGTTTCTGAAATATAACAAAAAATTGAATATACCTAAGTACATATATTTTCACCCTAAAGCATAGAAAATTGACTCCAAACCGTCAACCCTGAGATATATTCAAGCAAATTTAGTGGACTTTAAAGATAAAGAAAGGATGGAATGAGCAGTCGAGATAAAAAATGTCAAGTCATTTTCAAGGGAGGGGGATCTTACTGGCTATAGAATTTTCTACAGTAACCCTTAATGCCACAGGAAAGTAGAGAAAAATCTACAAGATGCTTCTACAAATAGTGAGTAAGTTATTTTTCACATATAAAAAATAAAACCAAATACTTTTGAACAGGAAAATTCTGGGAATGTTGTTCCTATGAGTAATTATTGAGTACACTACTTGAAGATCCACCTCAGCAAACCAAGACAAGACTGGAAAAATTTTAGTAAAAAGGATTGAAATAAAAGTGGGGATGAGGTGACAGACTGGGATGTTAAACATACATGCCCTGACAATATAGAAATGGTGTAATAACAAAAAAATGTGTGAGGACGGGGGACATATGGGTGGTAGAGCAAGATCATTGTCTGTTGGACTGACAGCATGTTATTTGGACAAATCAAGGAGTAATATCAAGCACATTTAAGAGCTGAAAGATACCCATAAAGGTAACATCATGATGGATCTAGAGAGTATAATGCTAGTGAAATAAATCAAAAACAAATACCATATGATTTCACTCCTTTGTGGAATTTAAGAAACAAACAAAGAACAAAGGAAAAAAGAGGCAACCCAAAAACTGACTCTCAACAACGGAGAACAAACGGATGGTTACCAAAGAGGAGGTACGTGGGGGGGTAGGTGAATTAGGTGAAGGGAATTACGAGTACGCTTATCCTGATGAGCACTGAGTAATGTAGAGAATTGTTGAATCACTGTATGGTACACCTGAAACTAATATAACAGTGTATGTCAACTATGCTGGAGTTAAAAAAAAAACAACAACTATTTGACACCAAAAATTAAAAAAGTAACATTATGATCCTAACTTGGGTGGGAGAGGAAAGAGTGGAGGAGGAATAGGACATATGCTAAATTTGTCAATTTTGGGGGTAGGAAATTAATAGGTACTATCTAAAGAGAGAGTATATAAAAGTCATTTTAAGAGTAATCACTAGAACAAAAATACAAACACTTCTAAATATCAGAAGTATATACTTACTCCCAACCAGTGAACATAGGAGAAATGAATACAATTCAACCCTTCTTTTCTTTTAAGGGAAAGACCCAGAAGTGGCTCACATTTCTTCAGCTCAAAGTCCATTGGCCAGAACTTAGTCACAAGGCCAGGGCAGGCCACAGGGAAGATTGAGAGGTTTAATCTAGTTAGGTATCCATGTACCCAAATGTAGCCACTGGGACAGAGATGCAAACCTTCCTATCAGAAGTACACCCATGCACATAAATGCAGAGAAGACAGAATGCTGAGTGTCAACATTTCCAATATCCAAGACCCCAGAATATATAATATATAATGTATGATATATAATATATAATATAAATTAGTATGACAGAAACAAGACTGCATTTTGGTCCCAGCAATAAAAATAAATGGATGTAACTCACTTAGTTAAATAAAGAATTTGAGATTGAATTACAGAGTAAACTCCAGCTTTTTTTAGATTTTTTATTTATTTGTCAGAGAGAAAGAGAGAGTGAGCACAAGCAGGGGGAGCGGCAGGCAGAGGGAGAGGGAGAAGCAGGGTCCCCACTGAGCAGGGAGCCTGATGCAGGGATTGATCCCAGGACCCCGGGATCATGACCTGAGCCAAAGGCAGACGCTTAACCGACTGAGCCACCCAGGCGCCCCTAACCTCCAAACTTTAATCGTATACAGAAGACTCATGGAAAAAGATATTTTACAAATGTTGAAAATAAATGTATAGGCAAAAGTACATTCAGCATACATCAACAAAAAGAAATCAGGGAGTCATGGTCTGAATATCAAAGGAGATGTAATTCAGGCCAAAAAGTTTTAAGCCAGTAGTAATTACGGGAGATACAGCGAAAAATAGGTAGCAGCTACTCCTAGTAGCAACTTTATTTATACCTCTCTCAGTCCATGAGAGGTCAAGTGCACAAAAGGAGGAGCCCCAATTAATACATTTAACAAGGTTGATATGATTAATTCATGTTCAACTCCATGTCCAAAAAATAGGGGATGTACCTTTCTTCCCACTTGGGGCCAAGAGGAAATATAAATCCAAATTACGGACTATCTAGCAAATAACAATAATGAAAATATTTCCTATGAGAACCTATGCATTATCTAATTTAAAAAAACACTAATTTTAGAAAGAATGGAAAAAAATACATGCATATGGTCAGTCTTCATTATTCATGGATTCCATATCTGTGAACTCACCCACTTGCTAAAAGTTATCTTTAACCCCCAAATCAATACTCAAGGCAATTTCATGGTCATTCATAGACATGGGCAGAGCAGTGGATCATTCAAGTCACTGATGACACATTTATTTAGTGCTTTTGTTGGTGATTTTGTTGTTTAAAATGTAGTAGTGCTGATGTGCTATCTCATGTTCCAAAAAGGTTGTGGTGTCCCTTATGGAGAAAATCTGTGTGTTAGATAAGCCTTATTCATGTGTTCTAGTGGTGTTGGCTATGAGTTCAAACATCTATGAATTAAGGTATCTTTATTAATATTTAATATTATATATTAAACAAGATATCTTTAAATAGAAGCCCTCACAAAAATACAAAGGTGTGTATTGATTAGTATGTTGTGGCCAGACGCTCACAGGAACAGAACCCTGTATTTCCTCTAGAAGCAATGGTTCAAATTAGCAAATTCTGTGTTTGGGGTGACTTTATAGAATGTATCTACTCCGAATAATGAAAATTGGCCATATATGTACATATATGTGGCTATGTATATATGCGTACAGAAGCAATGTGGTTTCAGAATACATCCACCTTTTTTCATTGTTTTTTTATTTCAAATATTGTACTTTTCTCATTTTTTTCTCAAATATTGTACTTTGCATTCTCAGAATTTATATTTCGTCCTTTTTTTATAATTTCTATTTCTTTGTTGATATTTGCTGTTTGGTGAGAAATCATTTTCTTCCTTCTTTACACATGGCTTTATTAAACATGTTTTAAGTAGCTGATTTAAAGTCTTTGCCTAGTAATTCCCATGTCTGGTCTTCCTCGGGTACAGTTTCTATGGTTCCTGAGTATGGAGCCATACTTTGTTGCTTTTTCTGCATGTCAAGTAATTTTCAAGTAATTTTTTCTTAAAAACCTAACATCTTAAAGAACATGTGATAACTCTGGAGATCAGATATCCCCTTTTTCCCAGTTTATTGTCATTGCCATTGGTTGTTATCCCTGTTGGTTTTGTTGTTTATTTAGTGCTATTTTTCTGAACTAATTCTGTAAAATCTGTGTATTTTGCCATGTGGTCCCTGAAGTTTCAGCTCAGTCTAGTGGTCAGCTAATAACTGGAAAGAGATTTCCCTAAATAGCTGGAACTGATAAGTCTCCCAGCATTTGTCAAGGGGCTATAAAAGCCTGTGTTGATGCATGCCTTCAATGCACAGCTAGGCAGTTTACAATTCCATCTTAGCTGTCACTTCCTGCTTGCACAGAGCCTCCTGGTTAGCCAGAGGTGACGGCTTTCTTAGGTCTTTCCTGAGCCTGTGCACTTCCCTAGACCTGTGTGTGGTCTTCCAGATGGCCAGGAATATTGGGGACTTTTATATATACATATATATGTATTTATATTTACATACTATATATAACATATTACATACTTATATGTATAAAACTATATATATTAATCTACAGTGTTATATACAAAATACTATATATGTATATTTATATGTATAAAATACAGTTTTATAACTTTATATATTATTTATATATTTATGTACTATATAAATATAATATTTTTACAGTTTATATATGTACATATATATTATATAATTTATAGAGATGTTTTGTATATTATATTTAATTATATGTAATTGTCATATTCTGCATATACTTTATTTATAATAAGTTTTATGTATCTGCACATATGACACATTCATATTTATATATTATATATTCTATTTATCTGTATAAATATATTTCTATGTTATATATTTTTATATTATATATATTTGTATATAATTTAAATTATGTATTTATAAATAAATAAAACATATAAAATATACACTTACATACATGTTGGTGTGTTATATGTGTATTTTCAGAATCTGCCAATTTCTGAATACCTGCACTACTACCAGCTTAGTCTAGTCCAGCAACACCCTTGCCTAGGTCATTACAACAGCCTCCTTACTGATCTCTCATCCCACCCTCCTAAGGTCTATTCT